TTAATATTGGGTTTAATTGCCCAATGAGTTTTTTTTTATATTTTAACAGCGTTTCGTATTTGTTTTGTTGTGTATGTATTTGCTTGACGAATTGTCAGCTTATCTCTTTTATTTGAATCATTTCTTCATCGTTAGGTAAAATTAAGGACTTGCTGGCCGAGGGATCGGTGAACGGGTTGACCAGGTTGGTTCTGGTCAACGCCATCTACTTTAAAGGGAACTGGAACCAGCAGTTTAATGCGACTGCCACCAAGGAAGCTCCGTTCAAAATCAACAATGTAAGAAACTAAATGTTTATTTTTTATCATACTGATATATTCCAGCAGGAACTGATACAATGTCAACATGAATCATACATGCTTTAATTTTTATTTCATAGTGTTGAATGTTAGAAAAGGCTTGAAAAAGTGATATTACTCTAATGTAGAAGATTGTTTGAATATCTAGTGTGAGAACTGGCCTGTTTATTATTAACCAATGGGATAAATAAACTTTAAAACCAAAATATATTGTACAACTGAATAAAATAAATTGAAAAGACGGGGAACTTAAGCATGAGAAAGTTTGCTCTCCTCTGCTATAAATATCAATTTATGATTTCTTCTTTTTTTTCATTAAACAGTGTACTTTCTGGCAATTTAGCAATAAAAATAATGTGGAGCAGTACAGCTATCACCACAGTGCTCCGTTTGATTTATGCATATAAAGCTTTATTATAATTCATGCACGGAGTATCACAGATTATATGGACACTGAAATAGGAAAGGAAAAAACAGGAAAAAGGAGAAAAGATGAAAGAAAGAAAGGGAGACGATGATAAAACGTCTTCAGTCTGCTTCATCACCTGCAAAGAGGGATTGAAAAGAACAGCACAACCAGCGGATATAGTATAAGAGATGCAATAAATGTTAAGACTAATGTAAAGTACAGTCACTTTGACGACGCTGTTTGATCACGTATGCTCTGTGTGGGACAGGATTGCTGCTGATTAGAAAATAGGTGAATAATTAACTGATTAAATTATACTTCTATAGGAGATTTAAGATATAATTGGATGTATTCGCCTTTTTTATTTTTTTATTTTGGCTGATTTCCACTATCAAACTCTGAAACGACACAATTTCTTGTTCCTTCTCTCCCATTCTTTTAGAACGAGACAAAGCCTGTGATGATGATGTACCAGAAATCAAAGTTTCCCCTTACCTTCATCTCAGAAGTCAACTGCCAGGTAACTGCAGATGTTTACAGCTCAGGTCAAAGGCCACCTATCAGCCATACTCTTTACATGCATACCTCGTTTTTAGGAAAGAATGGCTCTGTTGAACGAAAGCCAAAAAAGAAGAAGCTCTGTTTGCAGTTCAGAACAATTGATCCATTGGGAAAACTGACAAAGTTGTGCTTCTGAACACACACCACCATACTTCACCAGCTGTGATGCATGGTGGTGGCAGCATCATGCTTGAAGATCCCTCTCTTAGCAGGTGTTATTATGCCTTGAATTCCAAATAAAATGGAAAAGTTGGGATTCTAATATCACAGTTAAACAGGTCCAGATGATTTAAATATAATAAATACAGAGAGCTCCAAATGTTATGTTAACTCAATGGTGAATAGGTGGTTAGAATACACTTAAATGTAGATTAAGATGGGAGTTGTGATCAAAAAAAGAAAATTAACTGCAGGAATATTGTTGTTGTTTTTTTGTATTTCCCTATTGATGTTTAGCTACAATATTTATAATCCATTTTTTTTTTCCAGATCCTTGAGATGCCGTACAAAGGGAAGGAGCTGAGCATGCTCATCTTTTTACCTAATAGCATGGAGGGAACAACTGGTCTGGAGAAGGTATGACTTTAGCATCTAAATCTAATGCAAGGCCTGCAGAGAGAGCAGAAGGAACTGACTGGTTTGTGCACAACCTCAGCTGGAGAAGGAGTTAACGTATGAGAAGTTCATGGATTGGACCCGTCCAGACATGATGGATGACACCGAGGTCAATGTGGGCCTGCCTCGGTTCAAGTTGGAGGAGAAATATGACATGAAGAGCGTCCTGATGAGCATGGGCATGGTGGACGCCTTCGATCAAGGGAGGAGCGACTTTTCCGGTATATTTCCTGATTATCTACTCATACGTGATTCGGCATCCTTTTTTTCCTCCCCTACTTGCTTTAATAGTTGGGATCATCTAAATATTTCCGCCCCCCTCCTCTCTGACAGGCATGTCTCCTGCCAATGACCTGTACGTGTCTGAGGTTTACCACAAGGCCTTTGTGGAGGTCAACGAGGAGGGAACGGAGGCCGCCGCTTCTACCGGCGTCGTCATGATGCTGCGCTGCGCCAGGATTCCTGCCAAGTTCATCGCCGACCAACCCTTCCTCTTCTTCATCCGACACAACCCCTCCATGAGTGTTCTCTTCGCTGGTCGCTACTGCTCACCTGTGTGAGCTTTGTCCTTTAGAGTGAGGTTTCTGAACAGGAGGGACGTCACAGCGCTTTTAAAACAGATCTCCGGTTTCCATCCTGTAGATGTCAAACCAGTGCAGAGGATTTTTTCCTCTTTTTCATGTGCCTTGCTGTAATGTTAGTCTCTCACTGTTTAACCAAACATGTTTGTTCATGTGTTTCAAACAGCCCTGTTAGCTGCAGCTAGTTTGTATGTTAATGTGTCCCTTGAAGAATTTGTTTTTTAATCATTTTGCCTTTTTATCAACTGGCAGCATAAACAAAACTGAACCCCATGGTTGCAACATTATTTGCACTTTATCTTCACAAAATATTAGAATAAATAATGGTTTTTACACTTGAAGCATAACCAAAGAGAAATGAGATTCTACATAAAGCTTTTGTTGGATCCATATCTTTGTAATAAACGAGTAACTTGAAACCTGGCTCCTCATATCGTTATTTTTCATTCAGACCTGGCATTAAGACAGATTTGGTTAATGTGTTTTGTTGTTTTGTCACAAGGTGGTTGGAGTATTATATTATCACTGTTTTATATGACCTTAAATTTGCTTTTTTTTTATAAGAATAAAATGCAACAGTTAATCCAACTGCTTCAAACATCATAAGTGACTGACAGTAGTGTTATATTTACATTAAGCTTTTGAGAACTTTTCCAAGAGGGTTGCATAAGAACTGCCTCTAACAACTGCAGATGTCAAATTCCTCGGTTAATGTCTGTGTTCATAATTTAACGATAATGATAGAATAATAGAATTCAACTTTATTTTCATTATACTGTCATAAGTACAAACCAACGAAATTAAATATCTGCATTTAACCCATCCCCTTGGGGAGCATTGTGGGGTCAAGGGTCTTGCTCAGGGACCCAGATTCCAGGCTCAGGGGATCAAACCGGATACTTGCAACCCTCTCAGAGCACAAACTCACTTCTCAACCTCACAATAAAATCAACTACAGTCTCAACTGACACCTTAAAGTGTCAATTTTTGTTACACTATTTTGCAGTGTAACAGAATTCAACATTGCAAACAGCACTTTGGGAAGAAAAAAAAAAACTAAGTGGGTCATATATTCAATTATATTATATAATTATTTCTGCAACTCACTATTTTGGTAAATGGTGAAAAGAGTTTCAAACTGAGATAAAGGGAATACCGTATAAAAGGTGGGGATGCTGTTGCAAAAAGCATGTTATAAATAACACACCTGCACTCAGATGTGGTGATTTGCTGTTTAAGTTTCTTGCTGTAGCTGACCGGTAGTCAAAGTTCTAACCTAACTACAATAGAGATGCGATGTAATGATCCCAAACAGGGTGTTGATACTCAAACCCTCCAATGTGGCTGAATTAAAACCATTATTTTTAGGGGGGGGGGGGTTATTACTATGTTACTGTTTTTATTTCAGTTATATCTGTAAAATAAACTGAGAGAATGAACTTTTTGTACAGACCACCGAATATATTGGACATTCCAGGGGCCCTTTCTTGGTTTTGGTCTCTCATAGATATAACCTGAACAGATTGTGGTTTAAAACACATAACCTCTCCATCAGAAGTTGCTGAGGAGACTAATACTTTATTACACTGCATCTATAAAGTGCATAATTTATGTAAAGGATTAAGAAAAAGTGCAAGGTTTCTTTCAGCCAGTTGACGAGACCAACAGTATGTCTTAGCGTTATCATTTTCCACTTCTTTCATTAAAATAATTTTTGAAAGTAAGAAATAGTATGACAGGAATTTAAGGCATGCAAACAGGCCTCATATTACAGTATGTCACAGTTTACTTAGCTGAATAGTTGCTTTAAAAAAAAAATCTGTTCTTAATGTTGTCTGGCCAGTTGGTGGCGAATTAATTCAGGTAAGCGAGACTTTAAATGTTGTTTGCACCTGGAACACAGAGAAGTGAGGATGGTTCTACTTAAAGAATAACAGCTTAGCTTACATCTAACCTTAAGAAATATAAACTAAAATAAAAAAAAGTGATTTTATGATAGTCACGATATCCTAATTGACAGGGTAAAATCTAGATAAAGGGCTGCTCAGGGTCGCAGTGGGAAGCACTGCCACCTAGCATTAAAAGGTCCTGGGTTCGGTTCCCGGTCTGGGGTCTTTTTGCATGTTCTCCTTGAGCATACGTGGTTCTCTCTGGGTACTCTGTCTTCCTTCCACAATCCAAAAGGTTAATTGTTTTCTCTAAATTCTGTGTGTGTTAGTGTGGATGTGACAGGGTGTATCCCGCCTGTAAATATCTGGAGATAAGCATGACAGAAAATGGATGGATGGAAATCCAGATAAAATGTTGCAGAATAATGTTTATGTCTAAATAAAACTTAAAAATATGATCCTGAGGGTCAAGATATGTTTTTCATTTTTTTTTTTTTTTTTTACATCGGATAAAATGGCTTTATTAATATAGAGGAGAACAAAGTAGGTGTAAAATCTGTGTTGCAGTGTTTTATCCATGTCCAGCAGGTGGCAGCAGAGCTGGCACAGAGAGCTGATAGAAGAAGACATTGTTTACATCCCTCAGACTTCCGGGTTGTGTTTCCTGAGCCGCCGTCATTCATTGATGGTAAATAAAAGCCGTTCCTCTGTCTGCTGATGGAGACGCTCCTTTCAAAGCTCCCAGACAAACATGTCCTTTTCTCGGCCTCCTTTGTTGTCCGTGTGGTTCTGGTGGCTTATGGAGACCACCAGGACAGGACTATGGAGGTGAAGTACACGGACATAGACTACCATGTGTTCACGGATGCAGCCAGGTTCATCACACAGGTAATTTATCAGCTGCTGCTGCTGCTGTGGACTGAAACTGGAATAATTTGTTACTTTATTGGAAGTCATCGCCATTTCTAGCTGTTTTTGATCGCAAATTACAATTATTTAAACAAAGTTGATTATTTATTCAGATATAGGAAACAGATAATCAAGGTTCTTATTCACCACTTATGTGATTTAAAAAAAGTCACAAATCACATTATGTTCATAAAATGTGTTTATTTAATATATTTTAGAACTTATTTTCAGACATCCCAAGTTCCACAAACTCATTTCAGGGAGATGCTTATCATTCCTCACCATGGCTGGTTCAAGACAGGGGCCAACGGGGGCCAGTGCCCCTGTAGATCATGTTCTGGCCCCTGTTATGGCCCCTCTACCGAAGACATAATACTTAAAAGAAATTCTAATGATGATCTGCGCTGGAACAGACATGGTTATGGATAGCTCCTTTGGATCTTTTTCATTCTTTTTCTTTACAAATTCTGTTTTAATAATTATTCAAAAACAATGATGTGATAGCTTCAGTAGTTTTCATCTGTTAAATGTTTTTTTCCCCCCACAACAAATTAAAAAAATGCTCTAATTTCTACAGATGAATTTAACAGTTTTTCTTGAGTTCTAATTCAAATTTTATAGAAAACGGTAGTTTTAATTGAAATTAAGTCAAAAATATGTAATATTCCTAAATTATTAATGTATATTGACCTCATAAGAAATAGAATTTTTATTGAACCTAATTGAAAACAGATTTCACTTCATGCAGCTCTCTTTAATATATTTGAATCTCTTGCCCTGTTTTTTTATTTTATGCTTTTCTGGGCCCCAATGAAAACACGCTGGCCCCCTCCTGGCCCCCTGGTACATTTGGTCTAGATCTGCCACTGTTCCTCACCTTCACTAGACGTGAAAGAATTGTAATACACCTAGTGGTGCAACCTGGGCACATCTTCAGTGACTCTCCCGAGACCACTGGGTGTTTCGGGTCTTAGTCAAACGCCCTCACATCAGCCGGGGGTGATCAGTTCCCCGACTTGTGTCCAGGTAGCGCACTACGTCACGCCTTCCCCCTCCTCAACCAGAGCCAAGATGTTCTTGGTGGGTCTTTGCCTCTGCAGACCGCAAATCCCTAAGAGTCCAAGGGCACGGTGCAGAGATCTCCCTGCGAAGCCCCTGCAGCCCACTTCAATAGGCTCGCAGCGGGCCTTCCAGCCATTCCTCTGGCACTCGGCCACGAGTTCTGCATATTTAGCCCTCTTCCTCTCCTGGGCTTCCTCTATTCTGTCCTACCAAGGAACATTTAGTTCAAACAGCACAACCTGCCTGGTGGAAGTTGATGACAGCACCATGTCCGGGCGGGTTGTCTTGGCTGCGATGTAATCCGGGAATCACAACTGCCTCCCCAGATCGACCAAGTGCTGCCAATCCCTTGCTGTCGTGAGCAGGCCCCCTTGGGTCTTCTTGGAGGGTTGCAATTTCTCCCCTGCTCGAACAAAGGCAATCATGCTCCTGGTTAGAGGTCGACTCTTGCTGATGTTTATGCCGGTGATATACTTTAGTATGTTCTGCTGTAAAATTAGTCCTATATTTTGATTTTTTACTTGAGAATTGAACCTCTGCCGTTTCCCAGGATGCACAGCTTTGAGTGGTAACTAGGTGACTGCCAGAGAGTAACCAGAAACTTATCGGACTGATTCATTCAGCTCTCTGACAACCAGTCGCCTGGATCGCTGGTTGAACAGAGCATCGCTTTGGACAGATACGCTGCACAGGTTTCACCAGCAACCTCCTCCCTACACCCCGCGCTCTCTTGTTGTCTGCGGAATCGCAGTAGTTCTAATCCGCACATGATGCATGAATTATTGTATAGCTTGCCCGCTCTCACTCACATAAAAAAAACACCACCTTGCAAAGTCTAAAATCCGGGATAATTTATCCGACTCGCGGGCATCCGTGATCAACTATCTATATCAGGGAGACTCCTGGAACTTCCAGGAGACTTGGGATGTCTGTATTTTAATAGTTTATCTCCATATTTCTTATTTTCTAATCTAATTAGATGTATTCAGTGTTCTGCTCCTATAGGTTTACTTTTCAGCTTCTCTGCCTTTTAATAATAATCAATAATAATTTAAGTTTATTGAATTATTGGAGAAATTTACCTCTGTATATAACCCAGGGTTATATGAGGGTCTTGCTCAGGGACCCAGAGTGCAGGCTGTGGGGATCGAACCTTCTCAGAGCACCAGCGCACTGCTCTAACCACTAGGCCAACACTCCCCCATCAAAACTCTCCAACCATCAAACTTCTTCCTCCATGTTGTAGGTTAATAAGACCTGTCCTGATCCTAACCTTCCTGCCTCAAGCTGCCTCTAACAGGATCTAAATATCCTGAAGGTTTGGATGCAGAGTCTCCACAGATCCAACTTGTTTAAGTAGATCATCCCTCAGAGGATTACAGTATGTTTTCATTGCTGTAGCTCATCCTGTTGCCCCGCTTTGACCTCTGTTTTTAATCCGGGTTAACCTCAGGGTTTCTACAGTATGGAAAACTTTGAGGAGGCTGTGGAGTTTGATTTAAATATTTTTCATTTTTGATAAAACAATGAAAAGCATTTGCCAGTGGTGTCAAAAGTAACACATGTAAGTAACAAGTAACACATTTGTTACTTAAGTAGAAGTATAGATACTGCAGTTTAAAAACACTCTGGTAAAAGTTGAAGTATCAACTTGACCTCTTTACTCAAGTAAAAGTGAAAAAGTATAAAGTAACCTTTAAAAAAACAGCCAGATGCCACTATATGAATTAATAGCTAAAATTTTCGACTATTTCTAAAAATTCTTTGAGATACGGCCAAAGATGAGGGAGGTCTTGTTGGTCTCCGTCTCCCAATACGCTCTCGCCTGTGTCCGACTTTTCAGACATTTCGGCATCATTTCTGAATCCGACATTGTAGCATGGCATTTGAAGAACACCTGCTTGCTTCTGATGATTTCCTTTAGCTAACCAATGAGTGTTTGTGTTCTATGACTCATCCAATTACACTAGTTTTCACTAGATGTGGATGGAGCCAATGATCTGCATTGGATGGCGCACATGACGTGAAATAAATATAAACATTAAACCGAAGCCAAGAGTAACCAATCCAGTACAATCAATCCAATCCACTTTATTCATATAGCACATTTAACAACAGAAAACGTTTCCAATGTGCTGTACATAACAAATAATAAACAACAACACAACAATACATAAACACAATACAACAATAAATAAACTAAAAAGGACACAGAGGACCACACAAACTACACGTTGTTAAAAGCCAAAGAGTAAAAGTGGGTCTTAAGACGAGACTTAAAACACTCCACCGTAGAGGCAGTCTGTATATGGAGGGGCAAAGTATTCCAAAGTCTTGGGCCAACTACAGAAAAGACTCTGTCCCTTCTGGTTTTAAGCCTCGTCTTAGGCACTGTTAACTGAAGAAGGAGCTCAGACTTCAGAACACGTGTCGGAGAATAAATCTGGAGGACATCAGTGATGTATCGAGGAGCCATCCCATTCAGGGCTCTAAACACAAACAATAAAATCTTAAAATCAATTCTAAAACGAACAGGGAGCCGGTGCAAAGACGCAAAAACTGGTGTAACGTGTTGATGTTTTCTGGTCCCTGTGAAAAGACGAACCGCTGCATTTTGGACCAACTGCAGACGGGAGAGAGCTCGGTGGCTAATGCCTGAATAAAGTGCATTGCAATAGTCCAGACGGCTAGAAATAAAAGAGTGTAAAACCTGCTCAAAGAGGTTAACAGATAACAGTTTTACCTTAGATGACAGACGGAGATGATAAAAACACGATTTTAAAACGCTATTTATTTGTTCGTTCAGTTTAAAATCGCTGTCTATGGTGACACCAAGGCTGGTTACTTTGGAACGCACAAAATGCTTGAAAGGTCCCAAGTGGCACTTATAAACACCATCACCTGTGTCTTACTCTCAAGGGTAACGAGTAACGTTTGTTTTAAAAATGTAATGGATAGAAAGTACAGATACTTGTGTGAAAATATTATGAGTAGAAGTCAGAAGTAGGAAGAAAAATCAGTAATGGAGTAAAGTATAAATATATAAACAGTGTACTTAAGTACAGTAACGAAGTATTTGTACTTTACTTGATTCCTCTGGTATTTAAGTATTGAGAAATAGTTGCATTGTCCAGCCTGATGCATTTATCTGTTTGTTTCTAGTAGAGCTGAACGAATGTGATTAATCGATTATTGCAATAATCTTCAGCTAATTGAGTAATCAATTAATTGTTAACTGGAGTATAGAGACTATAAAACATGCCTTTAGCTGACAGAACGACCTAATTGCAGCAGTAATTATACCAAGATTGTAAAAAATATATAACCATTTTGAAATTAAAATAATAAAAAAATTTCATCTGTCAATATGCTCTATCCAGAACTCCTCAAGTGGAAAAGTTTGACTTTCACCTGGTTTAATTTAGTAAATATTCTTCTTTAATGAACCATTTGCTATCTGATTATTAATCCATTAATTTAAAATAAGTAATTGTCAGATTAATCGATGTACAAAATAATCGTTAGTTGCGTCCCTTTTCTCTACCATCTCTCCTGTATCTGTTGTTCCTCTTTTTTTCCGCTTGTTCTTTATAGGCTGAGTATTGGCGAGGGTGTTCTGATACGATACGCATCACGATACTTGGATCACGATATGATATCGTCACAAATTGCAATATCAGGATATATTGTGGTATAATACCCGGCTAATATTAAAATTAAATGTAGAGATCAAAAACCAATTGCTGTATATTCAGTAGAAGTGTAAATTCCCTCATTGTTTTAGGGAAAATCTATAAAAGAAAATGTATATTAGAAACTAAAGGATCAATATTATATTAGGATAAATATCATGATATATTGCCGAATCGATTTTTTCCCCCACATCCCTAGTTCTTTATCCATCTATCTGTTTTTCATACATGCGTTTATCAGTTTGTCAGCTGTCCATCCATCTCTGTGTATTAGTTCATCTGTCCATCCATTAAAAAAAGGTGATTTTAACATCTTGGACAGAGAACTCGGCAAATCCCATCATAGAAAAGTACAAATTTGGACAAAAGATAAAACAATATGATGCAGTCCTGATGCCTCTGTGCTCTCAGTAGCCTCTTTAAGCTCAGCATGAATCCCCATCTGCTGCATACTGTGATCTGAAGCTTTTCTATGAAAACATTACATTAGTTTTTCTCTGATTTTCACTCCTCTAACATTTTCACTCCTTTTTGGTAAAATCTTGACCTAAACATCCAGGTTTGTCAAATCCAACACTCCTCTCATATCTGCTCTGCCTTAATACATTTAAAGCACAGAAACATATTTTTTCCACCTCAGCTTTCGCACCTCTCAACAAGCATTATCCATGATTTTAATGTTATGGTTGATGGGCCGGCTGCTGCTGCTTAGTCTGCTGCCCCCGCGACCCGGTTCCGGATAAAGCGGGAGACGACGAGTACGAGACGAGTATGGGTTGATGGGCCTGATTAGGTAAAACTCACTTCATCTCTTGTATGTGCAGACATGTCTATAATGCTGCAGTATTTCTGTACAGGGTGAGTCTCCATACAACAGATCCACCTACCGCTACACCCCTCTGCTAGCCTGGATTCTCACCCCCAACATCTACCTCTGCATGGCGTTTGGAAAGATCCTCTTCGTTTTCTGTGACGTGCTGTCAGGAGTGCTCATCTACACAATTCTCTGTTTGAGAGGTCTCCACGGAAAGGTTCGACAGGTCCACACTTTTATATCTGAGCAATGGGAGGCTTTTCTACTCTTTTACGTGTTATTTTTCGTTTATGTTTAGACTGCAACCTGTGTGTGTTCTCTTTGGCTTCTCAACCCTCTGCCGATGGGGGTCTCAAGTCGCGGGAACGCAGAATCCATCATGGCAGCTCTGGTGCTCGGGATGTTGCTCTGTATGGAAGGTAAGAATAGAAAAATTTAAGAGAGTTTCCTCCTGTTTTTTTTTTTTTTCTGCTATAAGCTATTTTATTTCTTTAGCAAAGCGTCTGGTTTGGGCGGCTGTGCTCTACGGCCTGTCTGTTCATATGAAGATCTATCCCATAACCTACGCCCTGCCCATTGCTCTGGCCCTGAGAGCTTCGCAAGAGGGATCAGCGGACGCCAAATCAATCCGGACATGGAAGAAGTTTATCACATTTATCGGAAGTTTCCTCAACCGTGAGCTGATCCTCTTCGGAATCGTGTCCGGAGGAGTTTTCTCCATTTTTACGCTCGCCTTCTACTACATGTGAGACGAACATACAAGGGCTGCATCCTGCAGGTTTTAATTTGGACTCACTTCTGTGCAGCAAGTGATCAATTTAACCAGAATGTTTTTAAGAAGATACATTGTCACGTAGTTTCTGAATTGATTGTACAGAAGTTTTTACACCATTATTTGTGTTTAGTAGTAGAAAAAAAGGCACAGAAAACAAAAGTCATAATTTCCTGCCCAAATTTCTCTGTGGGCGCAGGTATGGTTGGACGTTTCTTCATGAGACCTACTTCTACCATCTGACCAGGAGGGACATCAGGCACAACTTCTCCCCGTACTTCTACATGCTCTACCTTACTGCAGGTGCTCTTCCATCCAGGCAAAGAGGTGGCAGCATTATGCTGTGGGGGGTTTGTTCTGCGGTGACAGCAAAGCTAAATCCATGCAGCTGGATCGCTCTGATACAGGTTTATAAACCGATAGCAGCTGGTGTATGTGTGTTTTTAAACTTTTTTGTTGGGTTTAGCAGTGAATAGATGAAGACGTGTTGCAGGTGGTGCACCGGCCTCGGAGTCACTCTTTTGTGTTTTGTGTTTTCAGACAGCAGGGGGAGCCAGTGGCTCGGTTTGGCCGCCTTCCTGCCGCAGCTCATCCTGCTGTTAGTGGCATCATGGAGCTTTCACCAGGATCTGGTTTTTGCCTGTTTCCTCAATACGGCCATCTTTGTCTCCTTTAACAAAGTCTGCACTTCACAGGTACATGAAACCATCACTAACGTGTTGATTTATTTCAGACTTTTTTTTCTCGTTCTATTTCCTAACAGTAGATTCATTATTATTTCTTTCTGCAAAAAAAAAGCTTAAGTATTTTCACTGAGTTTTATCTTTGATTCACACCCTCACACACAGTATTTGGTATCTATACTGTATCAAACCATTAAACCAGATATTTATTTTACTTACAATGCAAATACTTTGCAAATAGTGTCCATAATGTTGGAAAAGGTGTAACAAATATTGAAAGTTTAGTCTGAAACTAAAATAAAAGCTAATAATTAGATTTTTCTTTAAGAATAAAAGAAATTATAGCAACATTTTTCACTTAAGATTGATCTAATTTGGCCTATTAGAGTTTAAACTTGCATACGTTTCTTTTAAACTGTTCAAATGTGATTTAAACGCAGGATTACTACTAATTAGCTCTACTTGCTTTTTTCTTACAACTTTGTCTCTACATCTTTACCCATAGACTTTTTGATTTTAGATATTTTCTGGATATTTTAATTGCCAATGTAAATAACTGTACATTCGGTGGAAAAAAATCTTAATTTAGCTTATAAAAAACACAAATAAATGCTTTTAGTTTGTGGTGTGTTTGGTGAATATTTAATGTAATAATAGGAAGTGATTACTGCTGATTAAAAGGAATGAACATGTTTGTGTTTGTAGTACTTCCTGTGGTACCTATGCTTGCTGCCTCTGATCATCCCAAACCTGACCCTGTCAGTGAAGCAGGGACTGACTCTGCTGCTGCTCTGGTTTGCTGGACAGGTAATTCATTCACCTTCACCTGCTGACTGTTCCTGTTGGCTCAGTTCAGATCCCGCCTCACATTTACATCTTAGTGGGTTTTTTCCTCATAAACTTGCATAATCTATAATAGCTCTCATATGTGTCTCATTATGTTTTCTTTAACGTTTATAAACGTCATCTCATTTGGATTTATTATTTAACTTATAGGGACACACATAGCTATTATATTTGGAGCTCTGCTCTCCTTATAGGCTGATGAATGGAGTCAAAACACATGGAAGGGTTTTTTTAGGTACATAATTTAATTGAAGATATGCTCCTAATGTTATTCAGCTTTGTTACAGATTTAGACGCCTGTTATTCACGCTGCTGTGTGCATTTAGGTGGAAAATCTGATCTGGAATCATAGAATAATTTATATGGATGTTTCCAGTCACCTGTAGGAAGAAACTGCTGCAAGATAATTTAATTTACTTAAACTCCTGTTGAACTATTCCACATTTATAGAGTTTCGCACAGCTCCTTGAAATCATTGTTTTTGAATTTGAAAAGAGTAAAGTCAAGGTTTAAAAGTTTTATTAAAACAGCCGCAGACTGACATCCATCCATAGGAGTGGGGCTTCTTTCACATGTATGGTAACTTCTGTCCATGTTGTCATTATTTTTTGTTTGTTAAACCCTGGATTTTAATGTTTCCTGTACATAGCTAATGTGCGCTATCCTTTCCCTGGTGAGTCTAATACGTCATTTAGGGTACATTCTCACTGCAGCCTGAAGTGCCCTAAATTCAATATGTTTTTGCCCATATGCGACCTGTATCTGATCTTTTGATGACCGTCTGAACGACACAGATCCATTTTTTTTCTTTTCTTTTTTTCTATCTGGTTGAATAAGAAAAAACGAAGAAAGCAAAAACAAAATTTTATTTCTTCAAACACGACTGAAGCCTCTTGGGCTATATTCATACTGCAGGCCTTAATCCTCAATTCTGTTTTTTTTTCTTCTTTTTGTTAAATCCGATTGTTTTGCGTGGTCGTTTACATTTCCAAATATGGCACTTGTCAGCATCATGACCCAATCAGATACTTCATTAAAAACTAAGACAGTGCAGTGAGTACATTCTTATTACCTATAAAATAGTGCAACTCAACACACGCTTGATGCTGTGAAGATTGGAATATGGCAGTTTTGAGATGATGAAATAAGCAGTAGCCTAAATAAGTACCAGCTTCACCTAAGGAATGTGAAACAACATGTTGCACCTTTAGGCATTAGAACACCTGCCAGCCATAAACAGGAAACAGAGCCTGTTGTTGCAACATTCACTAGAAACAGGGAGGACTCTTCATTTTAGCAGCAGCATTGTGATGATAATATCACAACATGGAACCAAGAACTTCATTTGATCCATTTTACTTTGTTAGTTCAACATTTATAGTAATAATTTGGGGACATTTTCTCAGTCCACGTTTGAACCTTTAGGTACTAAATAAGAAAAAAATCTATTTAATAATTTCCCCAACCCCTGATTATGTCTAACAGTGACTGTTCTTAACAGTTACTGATGTTAACCTCATCTTTACTAATTTTGTGATGTTATTACAAAACAAAATCTCTTAAGAATATTATTTTATTTCTAAATATAAAAAGGGACGCACTCTATTAGTAGCAAGATGTACCTAATAAAATGCCTGATGACTTTGTGTTCATGAATCTGTATCTGATCTTTTGATGACAGTCTGAAAAAACACAGATCTGATTTAGTTTTTGTTGTTGTTCTTCTGGTTGAAGAACAAAAAGAAGAAGAAAACTGAAAAAAGAAGAAAAAAATGCATATTTTTTTTACAAATGCGACCTAGGCCGGTCGTTGCCATACCTGATAAAAGGTTAATTTCACAACACAAAGCTAAATGTGGCTGTTAAAGTGTAAATTTTATGTTTTTTCTCACTGGTTGGAGCATCAAGGCCTAACCTCACCATCACTTAACATACATCTTGTTAAATGAATGTCCACTATGAATTTTTACAACAAAAATGTCGGCCATAAATTCAAGTTTTCTATTTTTTTTTTTTTATCAGTTCTGATCCAACAACTTCTCTCAGTTTTCAATTGATTTTCAACCATACAAAATAATGTACAAAGTTAACATGGCGCAAAATTTGACAATCGATTCTCAAAAAACTACATTTATTTTATTGTTCATATCAATATAAGAAAGTGGAATAAATGGCTGATCAGACTAGAAATATGTCATATTAACATGCTAGTCTGCATATGGACGTACACCATGGGTGAGGCTGCAGTGATGGATAATTTGCTCTGTTCAACATTTTAATCCTGGCGTTCAATCTTAAGATTTTAGGGTTAAGCAATTTGCTGTTTTTTACAGAATAGGAGGTTTGATTTACAAATTAACTCCCTTCTAACTGCTCTTCACTTTCTCCATCTCTTTCCATCCACAGGCCCTCTGGTTGGCCCCTGCCTACTTCCTGGAGTTTGAAGGCTACAACACATTTGTTCTGATCTGGCTCGCAGGATTGCTCTTCCTAATGGTCAACTGCTTCGTGTTGATTCAGATCATAACCCATTACAGACCCAAACCCCCTCCACAGAGACAGAAGGCTGAATGACTCTACTGGTCTGAAATGGAAACACTGACACAAAAAGATTTGGATGCATCAATAAGAACGTTTCTATTTTGCTCCATTTCTCTCAGCTGTCTATTCAAGCGCTTCCACTTCTATAATCTAAATCATGTTGTCAGAGATCGGTCATATAGTGTATATAAAAGCCTCAGATGGATTATGCGTTATCCTGATTTAAACCCTTGGATTAAATGCTTATGTTGGCTGTCCAAAGCACTTAATTTAACAGGAATGCACAGATGGCAAGGAATTATCACACCCTGCTTTGTCTTGACTAAAGTTTTTCACGTTTGCCCACAAATAACATGACACAGCAGATTATCTTCATCGATTTTTGAGAGAAAAATACAGAGTATAGATCAGGCATTAGAGAAATCCCTCCGATATCGTTTCTAAAAATCATTTTTTTTTAGATGTTGTTCACACCATTTGTCTCTACATGGCCTTTTAATGTAGCTGCTTATTTCTGAGCTCTTGAACAAGGAGGAGTGCTGTGCAGATGGGATTAAGTTCAGGTAAATCAGAGCTAAATCATGTCATTGTGACCTGGATTCTGATGTATAAGCTGTGCTTTGCTTTTCCACCTTACTTTGATCATATATGACTAAATGTCTTCATGTTTGCTCTACAAATCGATATTTTTCAAAGCAGGGTACAAGTTTGTATCAGCAGGGAAAATGCTGATTGAAATAAGCTCGGTTGGAGCTGCAGTGCGTAGTTTTCACCAGTAGGCCGAAGCATAGACCTCTGGAGCCTGGATGCTTGTATAACCTGCACAGATTAATCAGTCAACTGGAGCATGAATACGACTCCAAACAAACAGTGTTTCCCTTAATCTCACCATACTCTCTCCTTACATCTTACATCTTACATGGAAATCATCAAAGGGTTTATTTTAGTCCTCTGGATCTAAAGAGTGTTTGTTGGTCCTGCAGGTTGGAGATGACACTAGGAGCATAATATTACTAGAAACCCCTCCACTGTATGCACATTGAATGGTTGTCATTTTAAGTGGTTAAGGGTTGAATTTGTGGGATTTTTCTAAAACATTAATCCAAACGGTTTGGTTTGCCTGTGTGTTTCAGATTGGGCGTGCGTGTAGGGGCTGACTCACGGTCAGCTGCGGCCTGAATACTCGTTTTATGACTCACCCGGTTGCACTGAGTAACCTTTTAGCTGGCCAGCTGCCTTTGGGCACATGCGTAAACCATTTTATTTCACCACCATCCCTCTGAATACCACAACATTCTGGAGTTTATTTTTAAAATCTGTTGGCCATAACAATGGCTGGGAAGCTTTTCTCCTCGAATGGTTGTTATGGTTTCTAAATGGGATGTGTGGCGTTCCGGCAGCAAGTTGGAAAAATCGACTGGAGCGACTGAAGTTGAGGTTTTTACTTAGAAAATTAAACCTAAATCCAAAATTCATTAGGGATTTGACATTAAACATTGTTGGTATACTCCATAAGGAAAAATGTTTATCCGTTCATCCTCATTATTGACTACATTGCTGACTGATTAGCCGTACCTCAACAAACACTACTTCATTATATTTCAAATCCTGTAAAGATTTGAGGTAACTCAATTCAGAAACACTTTACTAAGTTGTTTTTTTCTGCAACATTTAGTATAACCAAAATAGATATAAATAATATAAGACATAGATTAGCTCCAGTTCTTTTGGTGTTTGGGAGCTTTTATTATATTCCCTGCAGTGTGTAATATTTTAACAACATCAGCCTGGTTAAAGAAGTAGTATTAAAGGTGCACTGATTGCAGATCTGCTGATTTCAGTTTCGGCTGACCCCTGTATCCCACTTTTTAAAAAAATGGTACATGCCAGTTCAGAAGTGTCATGTTTAACATTTCAACTGGCATGTACCATTTTTCAAAAGGGGCACGCCAGTTATCACCGTTCGCTTTTTTGTTTTTCTAAGGGATACTGTAAGGTGTTACATGGGTGAAAATATATACCTTCAATGTTCCATACTTTTTTTATAAAAAAAAAAATTTAAATTGCTTCATAAGTTCTGTTCAAATGTTCTTTATCTGCACAGGGTTGTCCTTTCAAGTTTAAATGTAGATTTTAGAGATTATCCATAGCCTTTTTTTCAGTGCCCCCATAGGTAATATATCAAAGCTATGAGCTAGGGACTCATAAGAGAAGGAAATGTTCCACAGATGACTTCTGCTTATTCTAAAATAATAATATATGTTGCCTAATGCAAACTCTTTTTTTTTATAAGTCAATATACTGTTATCTCTTTCCAAAAAAGTAAAAAAAAAAACAATCCACTGGACTTTGTTTTTCCATGTTTTGCTTCCCATCCAGGAAGCTTTTTTTAATTGAATATTTTCAATTTTTGAAAAAAAAAAAAAAAAAAAAAGCTTCCTGGATGGTAAGCGAAACGTCTTTAAACATGGAAACGAAGTCCAGTGGATTGTTTTTTTTAACTTTTTTGGAATGAATGTGACCTGAATGACTGAGATTCTTCATCGGCATACGGTTATCTATTGCATTCAATGCCTTTTCACTAATTAGTCATTTACACCTATGTCATGCACATAAAAATATGCAATAAAAAAACTACATTTTAAAAAGCCACTATAAGATTTCTTAATCAGAGATTTGCTTTGAACTCGGTTTAGCTCTGATTTGCAAACTGAAGCTGTTCACGACTTTTGGACAGACTACTCACATCCTTATCACAGAATAATTTCTTAGGAAAAGCAGTGGATTGACTGCTACATGTCTAAAATGGTGTTTCTCCTAACATGTAAGAATATTGTTAAGACTATGCAATAAGCTTTGAGAAGCAATGTTTCACAATTAGGTCAGATGGCACCAGAAAGCTGGTGTCATTAAACCGCCTCTGACAGTGAAACCATTTAATGAAGACTAAAGCAGCTTAATGAAATTAGCATTAAGGCGAGGTGCTTTGTTGTCCTTCATTAGCTGATTGAGGTCTCCAAATAAAGAGTTGGAATCCTGCTTGTAAACTTTAATGGGTTTTATTCTTTCATTGCAGTTGTTTTTATTAAGCTTGTCTTATTATTGTTTTGCAATAAAGTATTTTTTTTTACTGATTTTTGTGATGGTGTCTGAGGTGCTTACTAAGGTTCCACATTAATTGCAATAAAACCAATTGGTAACACATTAAAAATAACCATGATTTATAAATGTTAATACCATTTATTGATGAATAACAGATTTTATTAATGGTTAATGATAATTTTTAAACTGCATCTAAACCATTTATAAAAGGTAAATAGATCATATTGCCCTGCCATATTAGTTTAGCCTTAACCCTAACATTAGTGGGCTTATCTACTTAATAAATGATCTATTTACCTTTTTATAAATTGTTTAGATGCAGTTTAGAAATTATTATAAACATGAATAAACTGATTATCTGTTACTCATTGAAAATGGCTTCTTTACCATTTTATAAAATGGAGCCTAGGTGGAAGTTCAACTGAAAAAAGTGATTACTCGCCTTCATCCGCCTACAACACAGCCAATCAGCTTTGAACCACACCGCCATGAGAGCCAATCGGCATCAAAAGTTCATCTTAAAGGCCTCCGATCTGCAACTCGTCTGCTGTACGCAGGCGGCGGATGCGCTGTGACGTCATTCAGATGACCCTATTTCAACCCACCTCCAGCCCCTCCTCCACCATCGTACCTGAAGCGTCATCAGGGTTTAATTAGTCCCGGACTCTTACTGCGTTCCCTGTCTCATCTAAACCAGTCTGGCAGAAGACCGCCATGTTGAGCCTGGTTCTGCCGGAGGTTTCTTCCCTGTGGGGAGTTTTTCCTCTCCACTGTCACTTCATGCTCGCTCATCATGGATAGGTTCTCTCAACCGGTGTTATCCAAGCTGGACTTTCATCTTCCAGGTCCCTGAGTGAAGCTCTAGAATCAGCTTACACAGTCCACTGTATCTCCCCTTAAAGCTCAGCATATCGTCTTGCTAACCAGCAGTCTACAGACTGACCAACTTCATCTATCTCCACTCCACCACCAGTTTCAGGCCTTGGGGGGGGAAACAGCCCTATTCTTTACTGCTGTTCAGGCACATTATTCAAAATTCAGCGCCAACGTTTCCTGCCGAGGTCTGAGCGCCAAAGACTGAAGTAATTGTATCAATAAAATTCTTTTAATTGTCTTTTCTCTCCGTGTGAGTTTTTTCAGATTGAACAAGGCTTATAATGGTTATTGTAAAGTGTAATGAACCAATTTAACATTTCACTCTTTTTTTTTCTCCAACGATAAACTTATTCTTTTTGGGTTTTTTTTTAACTATTCAAGACTGTAAACTTTATTACTATTCAGCGTACTTACGTCTGATAACCTTTGTTAAAATCCATTGCTGTCAGAATTCACATAAGAGTCCCTAAATGTAAATTAATGTCACCATAAATAAGTGTACAAGAGAACCGATGGGCCCATTGTAAGCCTGGAGGAGCTGCACAGATCCACAGCTCAGGTGGGAGAATTAATCATCACGACCACTCTTTGCTTTGAATGACACAAATTTGACTTGGTTAGAAGAAATTCATTGGAGGTCATGTCCAGAGTTTGGTACAAGGATCATGAGTGAGAAAGCAAACTGAAAGTGCTCTGATTATTTTTTACTTTGAAGACCACACCATAGTCACAGAGAGACATGGCAGCAGCAGCATAATGCTGTGGTGATGCTTTTCTTCTACAGAAACATGAATGCTGAACAAAATTGATAAAGCAGATGGATGTAGCGTAATACAGGCCCGTCCTGGAGGATCTGTGGCTAAACTCCAGTCTGACTGGGTTTGGCGTGTTTTTAAGGAGAATCAGTGTGTTAGCGTGGGGGAGGAGCTAAGTACATGAGAATGCCACAGTTTTCTGATTTATATTGGTTAAAAACTGTAGGATGCTCCTTCCATTCAACTTTTGTAGTACCATTACACACAACCCAGTGCAACTGTCTGTTCATGGGGTATAAGCCGTCTTTTAGGACTCTATAAATATGCATTATGACAATATAATGATTAGTTTATTTGTGACCCTCAGGCTTTTTCCCTTTTGGTCAGTTAGAGGGTTTATGTGAAAAAAAGTTGTATGCATATTTTTTTAGTGATCAAATGTACACAAAGTTGGGACCAATTATGGTAAAGAATCTGATTATATAAATGCACATGCAGCCTTTGCACTGTAAACGTATTCCTGATCTTAGCCTACTCATATACTCACAGACTGCTTCTGCCTCACAGATACAGCTGTCAGCATGCATCAGACACTTCGCTAACACCACAGCTGCCCAGAGCGCTCACTCCTGTCTCCTGATTGGATGTCCTCTTTTCATCGTTTCTTTCTGCTCTCAGTATCTTTTCTTGCATCTACATTTTTGTCTCATTTCACCTCCTTTCTTATCTTTGTTGATGTACAAACACTCAGGTAGAGTGACTGAAATTGCCACATGCTTTTTCGACGATAAATACTGTTACAGTAAGAAATTGCATTTTTATTATAGTTGTTTTATATAACATAAAAATAAAATTTCTGTTGCTGCACAGTGTAGCAGTGGGTAGCATTGCTGGTTTGTAACAAGAAGGTTCCAGGTTCGATTCCCAACCCAGGGTCTTTCTGCATGGAGTTTGCATGTTCTCCCTTGCAAACATGGCTGTTAGGTTAAATGGCTTCTCTAAATCCTCCTTAGGTGTGAGTGTGTGCGTGAATGTTTTTTTTTTCTGTGTCCTGTTTGTCTCCTTGTTGCTGTGCGATAGACTGGTGACCTGTCCAGGGTGTACCCCGCCTCCTGCCCATAGACAGCTGGAGGTAGGCACCAGCACCCCTCGCGACCCCAGCAGGGATTGCGTGTCGGAAAATAGGATGGAAAATGAATGGATGGAAATTTATCTGATTATTCATAACCTTTCTGTACCTGCTTGGTATTGCATGGTTAGCGGCCCACACTCATACCTAAATTTAGTTAAACTAACAATCATGCGGTTGTATATTAAATGGAAGTTGGAGTACCCAGAGAGAGACCATGTGTGCATGAGAAGAAACTGCAAGCTCAGAAAGAAACAGAGTGGATTTCAAGGGGAGGTAGTTTTGCAAAACAACTGTGCAACCCTGGTTAAATGCTAATTTCTTTGTTCCCAATACAGTTTAGTATTGTAAGCTGAAAAAAGTCATTGGATACATGTTCAGCTCGCAGAACATGCACCCCCATATTGTCCATAACTGTCAATAAAACCTTTAGAGCTCAATAAACTCTTCTGAATTCTATCCACCTTTGCCTTTTCTTGTTATGTATGTCCTGATTAAAATAACCTCGCCTTGATTTTTGATGCTACAAACACAATATTTAGTTGTTTCATTGTCATTGGATGGAACAATGTGGAGCATAATTCCAATGTAGAAAGGGAATTTTCAAATAAAAATCTGAAAAGTATGACAAGCATTTGTATTCTGTACTCTTTCCTCTAATACACCTAAAAATAGTTCCAGTAATCTCCTCGTTGCTATTGTTTGTACTATAGGTTGTTTGTCCTGGTGTCATAGTGAGATGGAGGTGGGTTATTCTCTTTAACTTACACTCTGATGTCAGTATTATGGAGGCTTGATATGCACTTGCACGTGAACAACGTAAACAATCTCAATCAACCTATTAGTGAAATCCCTACACATACTGATCCTCCCTCAGCCTGTAATTCCCTGTAAGCTATACACTAAATGAAGAAAAACAAACAGGGTTCTGAGATGGATTAGAAGAAGCGGCGATTAG